TGACGCAGACGAATTGTTGCGCACTGCTGCTGCAAGTAGCTCGTCTGCTAGTTTTTGCTATGCGTTTCCGCTGAGACTTGGCTTTTTGGTTTGGGATTTGTTTTTTTTTGCGGAGAGTTTTTAGTTTTGGGTTTTATTTCAATGCATTTGACAGCTTTACGCTCAATTTTCAAACACATAAATTCGGAGCTAAGCAAACAGTGAACTTCGTTTTATGTATGACTTTTCACTTTGTGTCGGCTACTTTGGCCAAATAACACGCATAATGCAATTGCTTGGAGTGGAGCGTCGAAAAAGGATTTCTCAATTTCAGTCTTTGACTGAGATGGTTTAAGGCTCAACTCTCCGGCGAGACATGTAAAGAGCAAAGTTTACATAGACGGATATTAAATGTCTAATGCTAGCAAATCCTACACAAATCTTCGAAAAGCTCTTGCCAAGCTAGAAATGTCCATTTAGCAATTGTTTTGTGCACTGAACGCAGAGCTGTGTGGAGCGTGGGTAGACAGTCAGTCGGTTTAAGGTATAATCACTTATGTGCACACACAATGTGCTCAGCTGTTGCGCAGTCATTACTCATACGCCCCGTCTTGCCCAAGCAGGCAGCGCGCAGTCAAGACGTCGTTGACGTTGACGACACTTGGGCCAAGTCATTTGCAATTGTTGCGCTAATGATTTACAAATTGCACACGGTGCCAGGTGGCACGTGGTAACTCACAGGCGACGGTGGGTGGGGGTGGGAGGGGAGTAGGAGTCGGTCGGTTGTTTCTGCGAAGCAGAGGGCGATAAATGGCTTTTTAGCAGCACAATTAAGTTTTAATAATGCCAACTCAATAATAACTCAATAAAGTCAACAAAGCGGCCAGCGCAAAGAGCAGCGCGGCAGGCAAAATGACTGATAGATAAATTTAAATTGCTTCCTAATCAGAATTCAAGGTTATTTTGCCATATGAGTGAAATTAATACGACGTTGGCTTATGAATCAAGTGCCAAAGGCATCGCCGAAGCTGTTTGCCAATCTGTGGTTGTGTTCGTGTGTGTGCCTGCGTGTCGGTGTGTGTGAGTATGTTTGTGTTTGCCAAGTGAATGTTGTTTCAAGGTTGCTGCACACACTCACACACACACACACTCGCACATACACATTGGCACTTGAATTGTACAATTTTTAATTAAATTTTGCTATATTTTTCGTTCGTTCCGGTTAAAAATAAATGCACATAGTAAAGCCAAATTTGAGGTACATGCTGTAAAATCCATTAAGCAGTAAGAGATATGAATACTGCCACCTACTGGGTGTGCGACACAGTGGTAGAGAGAGGAAGAGAGAGGGAGAGCAGGCGAGAGGGAGAGAGAGAAAGGCACAGAGATAGATAGGTAACATGTGACAATGGCCGTGTACACCGAAAATCATAAATATAAATTTAAGCTTATTTAGAAATGTAACAAAAATGAAAACAAACAAACTAACAGCAAAATTGTGGATAGGCACAAGCGGCTTGTGTAAATATAAATGTTAGTGGATCACAAAATACCCTGTAAAAGGGACGTTCAAACGGACCGAACGCTGTCTATGCTCGAATAGATTTTGCTCGCTATGTAATATTAAGATATATCTTTTAAATTTCTATTTGTCTTTAGTTAAACATTTTTCGAATAAGTAAAAATTAATACATAAATATGTATAGTTCAATAACGTGAAACTTTCAGGTACTTTCAAAGCTTTTAACACAGTGCTGTGAAAACTGACAGTGATATATTGTGTGAGAAAACTTATCAAATCAATCACATTGGCCAATTGCTGTATAGAGTCGTAGCAACATCAATCTGTCAAAAGTAATGCAGCAACTGCACAAATGGTGGGCCGCATGCTATGCGCTTTTTTGCTTTGTCGAAAAAGGCAAATGCAGCTAAGCTGCCAGCACACGCCAGCACACACACACACACACACACAAACTAACAAACACACTTACAGATACATAGCTAAAGCGACACGTGTGCCGCGCCATGTTGGCTGGCAGCGGCGACTGCATTTGGCATTTAGTAGTCACAGCCGCTACCTGCACTTTTTGTTATTGTTGTTGTTGTTGTTGTTGCTTTGCAACTGTCAGCATTGCAAAAGCTAAACCGCAATAGCATACCCTGCCCTTCTATTCGACTGCCATTAGGCTAAGCCCCAGCCCCGCCCCCACCTGGTTGCCCCGCAGCTCACCAAGCAGAGAACCCCTTCGCGGCATTGCACCAATGTCAGCGCATTGCACACGCCGCGCTGTCTGCGTTGTTTTGCACTATAATTTGCGTTTGCTTTTGTTAGCTTTAGCTGCTGCTGTTGATGTTATAAAACAAATTAGTTAGAAAACAAAACAAAAATAAAAGAGCCGCAAAAACGTATAGCGAAATTCGCAAAGCTTATACATAGAACATGCAATTAGCCGGGTCTACACAACAAATAAAGTTGCACACAAAGGCAGCGCGCCAATTTTTATGCATTTCTGGCAGGAAATGTGCAACAAAGTTTTCTTTAGCTCGCGCAAAATTGTCAATTTAGGTAGAAATTCGATGCCACAAGAGCTGCTGCTAATTGATATTCCATTTGAAAATGTCCGAGTGAAAAGTTATAATGCAGGCAATTTAGATATGGCTTTTTAACATGCACTTCTCAGCCTTCAATCATAGGAGCTTCTGACCCCAAGGGATGCCCAGTTAACCGCCCAACCCACAAGTGCTCAGCTAGAAGGCAATAGTGTGCAGGGCAATTTACGAGCAGCACTTAAACAAAAGCCACTGTGGTTGCCCCGGTTGGCAATCGAGCGGTGCGCCAGCCTTGTAATCGCAGCCTTGATTAAAAGGCAAAAGTCCGTGAGTGTGGATGTGGCTGTAGCTGTGGCAGTGGCAGTGGCTGCAGTTGTCACTGCTGTTATTGTTAAATGCACATAAATCTGCATTTAAAATCATTTTTACCACAACTGCACACAAAACAAAAGCCATCATGGCGTATGAGTAATTTACAAACGGTCGCCGCTCGCTTGAGTAATGAAGGTTAATCATGCGCCATGTTGCGCCAAACACTTTGTGGCTGCTCAGCTGCAGGCAGACAAAGCAGCGACGCGTTTAACACACGCGCACGGTGCGTATGAGTAATGCACGTTACGTATGCGACACGTGGCCATGGCTGTCAAGCGTTTAGAGCAACTGCTCATTGCCTGTGACTGCTCTTCCCTTGCCCGACAGCGGCAATAATTGCGCACAATTATCCATTAATTGCATTCATTGCATTTTACACAAAAACTGCCGCTCAATGCCAGCGCTGAGATCATTTTGCGTAGCGCACATTTATCCATTCATCTATCTATCCATCTATCTATCCACTTATCTATTCACATATCTGTGGCAGCTTGTCTGCTTTGTGTTTGCTTTTGCCACACTCAAGATTATGCGGAAATGTTGCAAATGTCTTTCAAATAGGCCGCCCAGCAATTGGGCGCAAATCAATTTGGAATTGTTGCCCTCCCGCCCCTCTACAGTAGCACACAGCTGCGCCCACAGCTACAGGGCGTGCCAGCTGCCAGACTGACATATATAGATTCGAACGACAACCGGAAACATGACATTTTCGGCAACATTTTTTTTATTTTTGTTAGTATTGCTGTGACCGGCTTGTGCAACAGGTAATCAGCCGGACAGAGCGCAAAGTGAAAGTCTAGTCAAAGGGAAAGGAGTCAAGCTGAAGTTGTCGGATTAAAATATATAAAAATTATTTTAATCACAATGACACTAGCTGCTAGTGGCACTTACATACAGGAAATATACTATGTCTGGTATTAAATTCAGTTTTGCTCATTTCAAACTTGACTAAAATAGTAAATAACTAAGCTTATGAAAGGGCTCTGCTAAATTGTGCACTTAAAGCACATATTTAATTATCTGTTGCTATTTGGGATTCATTATGGCAAACCTTTAGCCGCCTGTAGAGCAGTCTTATCGCCGCGCCCAATACTTTACCGTTCTCTACACGAGCAGCCCTCAAAAAAAAGGAAAAACAAACAAAAGTATGCTTATAACGGGCTGAGGCGGGTGCTGTTTGCGTTAATGTAAATAAAATCTTATCATATATTCAAGGTTAACAAAGGCTCGACAAAATGCCGATGCTCAATTTTGATATGTTTCCCATCTGCAGTTGTTGTTTGCTTTTGGCCTTGTGTGTGTGTGTGAGTGTGTACAAACTGAAAGCTGATCTGAGAGTACGTATAAAAAACATGTATATATCTAACTAGACTAACTAGGGCACTCATTTTGAGCGCAAACAAATTGCAGAGCGGATATTTTCCAAAGCATAGCCTAAAGAGGCGGCAGGAGGGCGCAGGGAGTAGCAGCTAAAAGTTGCGTAAGCTTCTTAACTTTTCTGTTAGAGTCCACTTTCTACTTTTCAAGCATAACTAAGAAAGTCGCGAACTATATTTACTACAACTTGAAAATAGAGCGAGCGAGAGAAGAGAAGAGAGCGAAATATATGAAAGAGCAGAACTTTTGCTCATTGATTTTTGTTATTATAGTATGTATGTGTGCTTGTGTATGTGTGTATATATATATATATCTGTGTATGTATATCTCGTTGCCGTGCAGTTAACGAGCTGTTGACGTTGCCCTTTGATTGATGAGTTCTTATTATGGGCTCATTTTCGGCATTTATTTAATTTCCTGACTTTTCACAATTCCCGCCGCTGCCGCCACATCTTGCGTATGAGTAATGCATCAAGATGGGAATCAAGCATACGCCGTGTGTTGCATATATGCTGTTGCTTTTGCTGTCGTTTGCCAAAAATTATGCACAGGCATTTACATAAATATAATTATAGCAATTAAAATCGGTATACAAAGTTGCAATTAAAATGCAACAAATTTTGTGGCGTTGCGCTCTGTTTGGCAGACTGGCCGCATTCCTTTGATCTTATCTGTGTCTCTCTCTCTCTAGATAAATGGGTGTGTGAGTGTGTGTGACCTACCTTCTTCTTGCGCTCCTCCTTGAAGTCGATGACAATACCCTCATCTGATGTGGATACCGAGGTTGTGCGTATGCGTGCATTGGCTGATGCACTGGCCGCACATTGCGGCGACAAAATGATGTGACCGTGCAGCACATTTCCATCATCGCTCAGCGGCGGCGAGGCCGAGCCAGAGCTCCAAGAGGCTGACGAGCTGCTGCCTGGACTGGAGCCCAGCCATTTGTCTGAAACTGTGATAAAACAAAGCAACAAAAACCCATTAAAATTGCAAGAAGAATAATGCACAAGCTCATGCGACCTACCGGCATGCGGCGAATTGTGTAGATTCATTAAAATTAATGCTGCATTGCATTCATTCATATCGTCCACTTTGCATTGATCGCTGCTGCAATCATAAGAGTCGCTTGGCGGACGCTTCCGTGAGCTGCAATAAAGAGAGCAAGGTAAGGATTCGATTAAAGGATATTGTATGAAAATGATCTCATTAAATTAAATTGCATAACTAATAAATCCATTTAACCAGCCCTAAAACCGTTAAGTTTACTAAAAGCTGCCGTTTCAATGTTTTTATACTTTATCTAAAAGCTACATAAATCTTATTTCAATAGTTGGAATGCTTTGAAAGAAATTAAAAGCTTTAATCAAACATTATAAGTGTCATTTAGCAATAACTATTATAAACATTTTGAATTAGACCTCAAACACTTTAAAAACTTTTGCTGCCTAAAAAAGCTTCACCAAATGTTTCTTTTTTTTATCTTTCTAGCAATACAAATTGAATAATTTAAAACTCGATTAACTGAAATTGTTCTCGCTTGACTGTAATCAAGCTGTCACTTTCAACTTGTGTCATTGAGCAATAACGATTGTAAATATTTCAAATTTCGAGAATATTTACAGATAAACCCAATTTTCTTGTAATACTACGTTCACTGATTGCATCACCCTGGCAGATATCTCTTCATCTTCATTAATGTGTTGGCAATTCCAAGAATTTAGAAGGTCAGCGTTGGCCCAGTTGTTCTGAGGCTCGGCTTTAATTAGACGCCCTCGCATAAGCCTAAACTCAAAACAACATCAAAGCAGCCGCAGCGCATTGTTGTTATTGTTATTGTTGTTGTTGTCGTTGTCGTTGTCGTTGTAATTTGCAACAACCATGTGACGAGGTCTCTTTACGATAATCACCCCGTGAGGCATTTCAATGCAAAAAGCGGCGCAAAACTATTTTTCCATTTAGCTAATTTTGTGGCCAGCGATTTTGAATGCCCCTGCATTGTTATTTATATTATTGTTGTAGTTGTTGTAGTTGTGGTTGTTCTTGTTGTTAATTTTGCACATTCGTCATTAATTGGCAGCTACTAGCAGCCGCTACGATAGCATCAAACAGAGAACATTCACAAATATTTTATGGCTAATTTGTTGCTGTGCAAATTTTACTGACCTTGCGCAAAATATATTTTTGGGAATTTTTTGCTAATTTTTCGCTTGTCACCAATTCCATTTTTTAAGAGGCGCTGACGTCAACTCTAACTTTTGGCTTTAAGTTCACCTTGAGGCAACCTTGAAGGCTACACAAAAACCACAAACAACGAAAAGGAGCTGCAACAATAAAGAACTACAACAACAATGGTGCTGTTAAATCAGATATCCTTTGGCGTTAGCATTATGAACAGCATTTATACGCTTGAAAAACTTGGACAAAGGCAACTTTCGGCCAAGAATGCAGCCAAAATAGATGCAGTCCAAAGAGGATTGAGGATAATAAAGACGCGACAGTCGCGGCGTGTCATAAATTCAAAACATTTCAAATGGCAAAAAACTGATTTGAAAGACTCCTCGTAATCAAGCTGAGTGGAAGAAAAGCTGCTCTTCTGCTGCATTTTCTGCTTTTTCTACTGTTGCTGCTGCTTTTTCTACTGCTCCTGCTGCTGCTGCCATGGCATCTCCGTATAAACAATTGAGACGTCGCCATTGTCATTGGCTGTGCCAAGTAGCCATTTGTTGGTTGCGTGCCAGGATTATTACTTGAATGACAGAATGTTCCATCGAATCCTGCGTTGAATTATGAGAACTGAATTGCTGATAAGATGTGCCTGCTGTTGCTGCTGCTGTTGCTGGTGGGCAATTATTGATGATTTTACGTAAGCTGCTTAGTCTCATTGACCGGCTGGCAAGCGAAGTCTTAGAATGGAGGCTGAATACCAGGAAGATGCAGCTCAATGCAACTTTGTTACGTTATCTTTAAGCTCCTTGAAACCGTATAACTATTTCAAGTAGATAACAAGAACTCAAGTATATATCTTGAATCAATAACAGAATTTTTCTTCGGAAAGAACTCTTAATGTTTAAGCTGAAATAGTTATTCTTAAGAAAAGTATATGCTTAGAAAAATATACATTATTAGTAAATCTGTAGGGTGCTCGGCTTGAGTAAGCTTTTAATTGGTTCATCTTTCGCTGAAGTGCTTTGAGAGAACTTTAAGCAGTGAGCGGACAAAACATTTAGCTTAAAGCGTGCTTAATTCTAGTTAGACACATTTCAAAGCAGCTATGCCAACAAAAGATTAGAGTGAGTTTTAAGTTATCTAATTATTATTTTAGCAATGCGACCAATTTAAGCTTACAGTTAGCTCTGCCCGTGTGCCAAACATTTTCCGATCAAAACATTTTCTAGGTTTGCCACGTTCAAGTAGTTTGTCAGACTTTGATCCTATAGTACTTTTCAGCGAAACATTCAACTTTTGTTGCACACACATGGTACGTACATATGTCTATAAAAGCTGACATCATGCAGTTTATAGAGCGTTTCAGGAGTTTCTTTTTGTTAACATTTCTTATCGCTGGCATCAGCACTTCAGCTACATTTAAGCCGAAACGTGAAATTGCATTCTAGATGCTGTTGCGACTGCGACTGCGACTGCTGCTGTCCGCAAACCCTTTCGCAAAACACATTTTGGTCCATTGTGCAAAAGGCCGCAGGCAGCGACGACTGAGCTCAGCTGCTGCTGTTGCATTGAAGTGAATGCAGCTCCTTCTGAGAACAGCTGCCATAAAATTTTATTGCAGTGCTACCAGGTTTGGTTTTTAGCCTTTGTCTAATGCACGCGCTTTGTCTGCAGCCCCCGGAAAGCCAGCATTCACTGTGTGTGTTGGTGTGTGTGTGTGTGTAGGAGGGGCTGCTGAGAGGAGGGGCCAGAGCAGCCAGAGTTTGGCTTTTATCCATTTGGCACCTTCCGCTTCGTTGGCTACTTGCGGCCGCCTCATCTGCGCCCCAATTAAATTGACTAAACTTGACGATAAATTTTTGCCGCTCGTTGCTAATCGCATAAAACTAAATTTGCGCATAAATCGACATTTGAAATCTCTGCATTAGACCGAGGGGCAGCCGGGCTGCGGAGCGCTTGGCAGCGGTCAGCGGCGTTGTTTTGCCGGCCGGCCTGCCGCGGCGCGTGCTGCGGCTGGAGGGAGATCAGGCAGGGGGAGATCGGTTTTAGCCATCACGATGTGGCCATTTTGTGCGCACAATCGGTACCGTTAGGTTCAGCAACAACAATAAACAGGCCGTTGCTTTCTGCTCGATTGCGCAGCAACTTTAATAAACTGCAAGCTGCAGTTGTTGCAGTTGCTGTTGTTTGGTGTTTGGTGTTTGTTGCTGTTGCTGTTGGAAAATTGGTGGCCGAGTCTCAAAGTCTCAGAGTTTCAGTCTCTCCCTGGCTGGTTCACTGCGTGGCCGCACGTAAATTGCGACTGGCGATGATCGGACCAGGCAAACGGGCCCAGGAGCTCGGGGATTGGCGCTGCTCTGGCGCGTGATTGAAATGCGATATATTCGCGCCGATTTCGGGGCCAGCGCTTGAGCGGAGCCTGGGAAATGCGCAGTGATTTTCACTTGGTTGTATTTGTTGTTGCTAGTGCTGCTGCTGCTGCTGTCGTTGTTGTTGGCCAGGCGATGCGCCTAAGCTATGCAACTTTGGCCCGTACTCTGTTCGCTGTTCGCTGTTTTGTTGGCAATTATTTGCCCACGCCGCTGGTTGCAATCAGCAGGCGACGCTGCCAGCAACGTTGCATGCTGCATGCGGCACAGAAAAATAAAACAAAACAAAAAAAAAATAAAAGGTGTTGAAAGCAAAATTACATTGCAATGTGCACCGGCGGCTGTCGGAAATATGCGCGCTCCAGAGATGCGATATGATATGCCCAGCCGAGCGGCAAAGGGGGTGCGCTGGATATGGTGGGGATTGGATGTTAGGCCAGTGACTATTCGTTTGCATGCCGCATAAAAATTAGTTGCAACTGCAATTTATAGTCTCTTGTTGTTGCTGTCTGCTATTGTTGTTATTGTTGTTGCTGCTGTTGCTGTTGTGGATTGAGCTGCATTCGTTTTGGTTTGATTTGTGGTTGCGCTGAGCAACTGAAATGCAATTAAAGTCCACACCGAAATGAGTTTATTGAATTAGACACGTGCTCGAAAATTGGATCGGAAAATTGTTGGGGCCAGGACCAGGCATTAGACAATAGCACTGCGCGAATTGTTGTTGCCTTTGTGGTGTTATTTGAACAACTTTCACCGAAAAACTTAAGCGCAATTTTCAACATCAAGAAGTTTGGCTAACAATATAAAAGTAAAAGCGAACAGTAATTGAATAAAAAGCTAAAAAAAAAAACAACCCAAGTCTTTGTTTTGTAGAAACGCGAACGCTGATGAGCCAAATGGCTAGAGGTAATCTACAGTTATATTGGCGTATGTTCTGATCAAGAAAGAGAATCGTTTTATATATATATTTATAAGTATTTAGATTTAGATTTGACTAAATGCGCAATCACTTAGAGTTGCCGAACTTAGGTTCATTGCACCCATACGATAAGTCAGATCGCTGCCAGCTTGGCTAACAAGCATTGCGTACTTTTATTAATTTGGTCGTATCAGAGAGCCACGTTAATATCAGCAGCAATATTTTAGACACTTATCAGGTGTCGAAAGCCAAAGTCAGTGTCAGCAAAAGTGCAAATCTTGATAATATATCGTATGTGGCACAAGTATACGACAAACAGAAATGTGTTTTTCACCTCAATGGCAGGCCAACTTCATTGAGGCCTTTTGTTATTTTGCAGCACGCTGGCGCTTATCAGTTTGTACGATAAGGAATTTAAAGTCATTGTGAAATAACAACAAATGCAGCGTATATGAAAACGGAAGTGTGGCCTAAACGGGCTAAACATTATGAATAAATAAGTATATTCAAAGCGCCAATGTTGCGTATACGCAATATGTTAATTAGCCAGCTCAACAATAAATAAAGTGTGCTGTAGAGTTCCAGGCGAAACGTATTTATTACCCGATAAATGACAATTATTTTGTCATGTGTTACCTCGCTGTTCAATTATATATTATTTTTGTTCAATTAATTTTGAATTACATATGTTT